ACCGAATTGGTTCTACCGATGACACCCTTGCGAGGTCAAAACAGCTGTCCAGTCAGAGTTGGATGGAAAGGTGCGAAGATCAACTGGCTTTCGATGAAGCTCTTGAGTCAATGTTGTTGGGAAGACGATCATTTTGTTGGTTGATCTCACGGCAAGACCACTGCTTATTCTCGGTGAGCATGAACAATTAATGCTTGATTGAGAGATTGAAGGAGCGAGAGTGTGTTGAGCAGTGTTGGTTCTAACTTCACTCACACTCGTCCGAAATGTTAAATTTAGCTCATCAGCTAAACCAGACGTACGAGATTACCCAGTCCCAGTCAGGCCTTTCTTTCGATTGCTAAACCTTAATGGCCCTTGTGACTTACACTCTTACAAACTTATATCTCATCTTGTGTAATCTTGATAATGATTTATACGAAACAGAACTAACCAAATTATTCTATAACTTTTTCCTTATATTTTTATTTTTAATTATGAGTAATACACTATGTGGGCTAGTGTTGGCTTAAAACTTTGATAAGAATGAGTTCCAGCTCTGATGATGTCCTTGGTCTGAAGGGCGAAAGATGAGCTCGGCTTGACTCAAAAACGAGGAAGGATATGTCGGGGACTGTGTCAATCTGTGCGGATCAACGCGAATCAGCCTTCGTCTTTCGTTGAGATCAAAGAACGAACCTTTTTATCGTGCATTTTGATACGAAGTCAATGTACCCACGACGATAAATGAGAAAGTAGCTTGGTTGAGGGTAAAGCTCATCTCTTAGTACGTGTTTTTAGCCTAAAATACGATAGTCCAGTTGATGGGCATATTGTGGTATTGTGGCTGCAGTCTCATTTTACTGAATCTAAGTGGCTTGAGCTTATTTTTTTTCAACTGATTTGCGCTATCTGGGCTGCGTATATGAAGGCATCTTGTCCAGAGTCATCTTCTGACGAGGTGCCTGCATCTCGATCGGTGTCGCTTTGATCTGATCTTGCGATGAATAAGGCTTGATCTGAAAACAATCTCCTCGGCTCGAGCGTACAGACGGCATATTCGTAAAGATTTTCCCTCCTTTTCGACAATTCACCCTCGAGTTTGAGTTGACAATCGAATGGCTGATCCTTACAATCTTCATTATTGAGGTCCATATTTGCAAATACTTTGTATTCATCATTAATTATCCATTTAGTTTCATACTACATTTTCTCTATCCGCACCTGTTGTACTCTCGTATCCGCTTTTCTGAGCCTTGAACCTTCGGGATCAATACATTCTTCATGTTTACAACAAAGACCTAAACGTGGTATAACAATCTTGTAAAATAAACGAATAAAATTACTCAAATTCACCAACAGTCGCGTACAATCGGTCTGTTGCTGCTGCACGCGGTGAAAATTGTCGCCTCCGTGACGAAGTGAAGCAAAGGCTTGCTTCTGCTGTTATCTTTCACTCACTTCTGCCTGCCAGACGTGCGTTTTTCTGCCGTCTCGAGATCACTTTCCACCTGGCTTAGATACCGCGTGCACTCACAGCACAAAATTCGCTAAAATGCATGGATTTAGCGCGACCAACGCATCCACACTCGACTGCACACCCAATTTAAGCCACGACTGCCCTCCGCTGCCGTGTAACCCCTGGCAACGCACTTTTGCCTGTGTCGGTACCGACTTCTTTTGACGTCTGTCAATGTTGGTGTCTTCACAATCGTCAAGTTGTCGGCGTCTTCAGCGTGCCGGCGAAGACACGACCATGTTCTACCATTATCCCATTTCTACCATTTTCTCAACTCAACTAGCACCACTTTGCTCCTTCGCAGCTCAACCTCGACCGACCCTCGGAGAGTGAGAATCTCAGCCAATCCGCTGGCGCCAATTCGACTCATCAAGCCATACCATCGAGGAATGGATTCTCAGTGTCCATATATCACGTCTGAATTAGACCCTCTGGTAGCCGGTGAAATGTAAACATCTTCCTACAATGACATACCTTTTGCCCATTTTCGAATCAGTCTTGAGCTGTGATCTGGTTGACCAAACGTTTCCACCACACTTTTAGTTTGGGTATGCTTCGAAATGCTTAGTTATTGTTGATTAAGAACTTTAGTCAGCCTAGTTTGCTTATGCTAAGGTTGATACAGTTTGCGACATTTCATACGATCAAATGAGTAGGCGGTGAAATGATTCTTAGAAAAGGGTTTTTTTTCTCATCTGGAATGACTTTTATATGATAGAATTTCCTATGACCACTTCACCCCAATTCCTTTGAGGACAATGCATCCAACTATATCATCTTTTAGTTGTCTTGGAAACCTTATTATAAACAAAAAATAAGTAATGCAGTCGATGGCTGTGGCAAATAAATCTTTGCTTCATCAACAATCACACCACATAATGTGTCATGGTAAAATGTCTGGCCTTCCTTGAAATGCACATCTGCCCTGCAGCCCAACGACACTCTTGGCAGTGTGTCGAGTGACTGTCATAGTTCGAGTCCCGCTGGGGGTGCTGATGAGACGAGTCCAGGCGAGGTCGAAAACGCAGTCCACTCCGGCCGGAATAAGCATAACTTTGGTCCTTCTCATAGGATTGTGGGACGATTCAACTCCCAGTTCCCCAGCCACCTCAAGCGAAATGGAGTGAATACATCTCATGTACAGGATCTACTGGCATTCTCGAACAATACCTTATCTATCTCCGTGTTCAGTTTGTTTTTTAATGTCAATTCATTTTAAATAAGAATGTTGTTCCACTATCATTCATAGCATCACCTTAACGGGGCTAGGTTAAATTGAATTATTAGTTAGTAATTAATGATATTTTTGGACTATATTCATAGTTTAAATAAATTATGTAACGACCAATTATTGTCTGTAAATTGGAGATCCCACGCTTTCAGTGCTTAACTCACCTTACGCTACCCAAAGTGGCCAACGTTGCTTTTCGCGAAACAGTCCGAAGTACATCGTGATTCACCAAGTCGAAGAGTCGCTCGGCAACTCGGCAACAGACCCTCCCTCTGACTTGGTTACAGTCCATCCATCGCCTCGAGGGCCTTCAGAATGCACATTCCGTGTCTATGACCGGCTCTACGGACCTTTTTGCACTGCTCCATGCGCTGTTCCAACGACGTCGCTCCTTATGCTTGCTCCAAACCACAACTTTCCGTAGGCGGTACAAGTGCATAGTCGATGCATACCTTTTGGACTGCGGAGGCATGCTTGCAACCACAACTCGCTTCACTTTTGTCATGATTAAGCTTTGAAAAGCCATGACCTTTTTCCGAGATGGACACTTGAAGGCGGGTGTGAAAGAGCAATTCTCTTCGTCTAAGCCTCGGTCACGAGATGATGAATCTCGCTTTTCACACTTCACAGCATGGCCTGCTTTCCGGTATGCAGCGTAGAAACTAGCCATTGTCTCCTCTTCGTTAGAGACCGCGTCCAAGTGCAAACGTGGCAAGAGTGCTTTTCGCCTTCCGACACCATTTTCGGTGCCTATTTACTGCATCTTTTTAAGTAGGCACACACATGCCTCTCTATGATTTGAGTCTTAATGTATGATATATATATATATATATATATATATATACATGCATATATATACATGTGATAGTCTTTTTTACTTTTCTCCAGCAATGCTTAAACTTTTCGTATCTTTTAAGGATCTTTTTTAACCTTTGCATACTTAAAAACTCAACTGCTATTGTCATCGGATAGTTCTTAGAGCTATAGAATCTCATTAAATAAATACAAACGCTCTTACTCCGAGGCATTTTTCACGCAGCCGATCTCAAGCAGAACCTCTAAAATCGGATCACATTTTGTCTGTAAATGCATTAAACTTTCTTCATTTTCCACCTTCATGTTATGCTTAGTTGGCTTCGTTTGAGGCGGCTACTGGAATGGATGCGTAAGTCGGCCTCACAGGAAACCGAGAAGGGATCGTTTTAGCGCCGTGACTGTAGAATTGTGCAAATGAGTCTGCACGACCTCGACGGATCTTTGCTGAGCTTCCGTGCGTCACGTGACGGACAGCATCAGAACAGGACGGTACGTGTTACGAGAACATGCAAAGTTGCCGGCTGTGATCCCACCTACTTCGGATGGTCGAATTTCGTCCACTTCATGAGGCAGCCTATCATTTGGACGGCCCTCACATGCTGTTCCCACAGATTTGCTGCAAAGTGGAGTGTATGTGATTGCGGCCGAACGGCTGCGTGTCTGTTGTCGGCACACAATGCTCGGGCGACGCGTAGGGTATGAAAGCGAAGACCGGAGTTGACGTCTGTCTGTCTGTTTGTCTGTTCATCTGTATATCTATCTTTCCAACCCTATCCAACAGCTACAAGTATTTCCCGTCCGAGTTGCTACACACATTTCTTCCACTCAATTCTTTCGATTTCTTAATCCTCCGTGGACCGGTATCATTTCCGAGTCCAGCCAAGCGGTGTCCTGTGCGGAGCAGGCATTCGGCCAATTCCGATTTCCGGACCCACGACCTTTTATGTTTATAAAAGTGGGCAGGCCTCGTCGTCACAACTTGGTCTTGTTGTCAGGGCGACTATGTAGAACGCACCTAATCCGAAGTCGTCTGCCATAGCAGTTGTCATGATTCCCAGCATCAGACAGTGGACTTGGTACATTCTCAAACGTTTCGTTGGCATCGTCAGTGAGTACCATTCGCCGCACCGAGCTAAGAACTCGTCAAATAAAGAAATGAAGTCAATTCTTCGACAAATGTTCTACCGAAAACGGTTACACTATCA